CTGGGCAGTTCTGGAAAGCATGAGTGCCACTCCTTGGTTGTGCGCCGCATTTTCATCTTCGTGGCCTGAATATAGCAGCAGTTCCCCTGTGTTGAGCTTTATCTGACCTGAGCCTATCCATCGAGACTCACTTATTCCCAAGATGGCTAGTTTGTATCTTTGCATTTCAGCAGCAACTTGGACAGTTTTTCCAGTTTCGAACATGGTCCTTACGTTCCATGTTCCTAGACTGGTGGTGGTCCTAGTGGAGAGGATGGTTGTCCGCCGGTTGGTTTCCAGTTGGCTTTGGCCACCCAGCTTCATTAATTCTCTGTTAGGAGACCCATCCTTTCCAAGGTCCGAGCTTCCTTTTGAAATCTTTCTTTGTGTTTTTGTAGCAGGGCTTTTTTTACAGGGAAGGGTTGCTAGCCCTTCGCCCAACCCTCCTCCTTTCTCACCCGGGCTTGGGACCGGCTACGGCGGAGTTCTATAGTCTATAGCACTAGAATTTTACTAAGTCAAAACCAAGACCAAATTAATAGTAAACAAGGGAACCTTAATATTTTAGTCTTGATTTTTTTTTTTTAACAAGGTATGATACATTTTATTATCACAACCATCAGATATGCAATATTTTATAAGCACAATATGTCTGATCTTATTAAGTGTAGTGGAAATTAGCTTAATCCAATTAAGATTTAAAATTGTGGCCTATATGCTTGAAATTTTTATTTAATTTCTAGTTTTGTTCAATAGATCTTAACTTTCAATATAGACAAGATTTCATAATGATGATAATGTAAAAAAAATTAAAATTTCATTGAAGTTTTTTTTTGCCTTTTGTAAATAAATGCCCCTTGCTCAAAGTCAAATACCCTTCCTATATTATTTTTTAAAAATTTCCTTTGGAAATAAATTAGGATATCTATAAACAATACCATAGAATCAGCAAGGGTGGCCAACATCTTGCCACATTAAATATTGTGCCCAACAGATGTTAAAAAATACAAATTATTTCTCTATTAACCTTCAACTGGCAATTATTTCAAAACAATATATCTATATTTTTATTTGTTAAATTTAAAATTAAAGGATTTATATACACACAGCTAGACTAGGTAACAAAAACCTAAATTTCCATTTCTACTATTACTATTATTATTATGTGAAGATTGTCATTGATGCAAAACTAAATTCAGGGATGTGCCAAGGCAACCCTTTGAAATTTTCTGGGGGGGGGGGGGGGGGGGGCAGGTTGTTATAATATGTTAAAGATATTTATTTCAAACTAAATTTCAATCTATAGAATTTATTTATGTGTGTGGGCGTGGGCTCATTCATTATGATTTATTTATTTAGGCATTTTTATATAGCGCTTACCTTAAAGCTCTAAGCCCTAAGCCCTTTACAATTATTAAAAAAATGTAAACTTACTAAGTAAAATAAAAATGAGACACTATTCATATTCATGGAAATGTGTCAAAGTACATACTTTTTAACTGATGATTGGGAATAGATAATCAAAATATTGTGAAATTTTATTTAAAATGTGCGATTTTCAGCTTTCACTAGTGAGTAACATTCCTATTGATTGATTGCAAATTACAATGATTATGATTGGATATAGCATGGGTGCATAGCTATCATAGCGCTAGTACTAGTATTAGTATTCATGCTGCATGCTGCTTTGGCTTTAGCATGCTAAAAAGAGAGTTGTTAAATGTTTCTTAAATTTAAATGATTTTTTTCATTTTCGATTCCCCTCAAAATTCTATACTATACTATACAATATTCTATATGCACTATTCTATACTGACTATACAAAATAAAAATACTGTACGACACTACCGTGCCTTGACTACTATGTCACTATGATGTAAACTGAGTAAATCACCTTATTTTATATTGCCAAGCTATGCTTTCTCTGTGCCAGTGATCACTTCCATCAGAACCTTCAGGTCTTATGCCACCTCTTGATGTCATTTTCGACTTCTTTAATTTCTATGGATAGCCGGATATATTAATAAGGTGACAATCTTTGGTTTAATTTGTATTATTAAAGATTCCAGATCACCAACACTGAGAAGCTGCAGTCCCGAAACTTAACACTGCTTCCGCTCTTATTAACCTGTGAAATATCAGAAAATCGCTTACTAAGCAGAAATTATAAAACATTAACATATAAAGACACATTAAAATGAAAAAAAAATAAAATAAATAATTTATCATAGATTATAAATATGATTTTAAAATATAATCATGTTGTAAAGCTTGAGATAAATCTTTTGATCAGAATGTCTTTTTATACAGAATTGTAAGCGGCTAAACGTGATTGAGCAAGCCAGCAACAGTTTGTTTACAAATGGCAAACTTTTAAAAAAATGTTTAAAAACTATATTTGTTTTAAGTAAAACGTTTTAGCTGAGGTATAGTAAGTTTTACCTTTCACATGGAGCACAATTAAAATGTATGGCAGGCCTATTCAGGTATTTACAGAACTAAAATCTATTAACAAAGACCAGCACAATTTTCGAACTGCGAAAAATGAAATGGCTACGGCTAAACCAGCCGGTTTTGAGATTCAGGAAAACCTCCAAACAAATAACTCAGAAAGGCAGATACATGTAACTGGAATAGGTGAACTAACACAACCCCCTGATCGCTTTTCCATTACTGTTAAATGTAAATCAACTAAAGATAATGTACAAGATGCCAAAAACAGCATTACACGAAGAGTAGATTATATCATACAAGCTTTGAAAAATTACTCCTTAAAGGTAGGTAAACATTATAATTCATTATGATTATGAGTGTTGTGTCATGTTATTTTTTAAAATAAGTTTTGTTTGTTAAATATCCCAAATTTACTACTGCAGCTCTAACTGGGAGAATGCAAAGATAATTTTTGTGGGTAGGCAACCAGTTTTTAATCAGATGCAAAGTTGAGTACTGTTTTCCTTTATTATTAATCAGGATTAATGATTAAGGTCTTTTACTCAGTTTCCCCACTCAAAGTTAACCTCCTCCACAAGAATGTTACTTTACTGGACTGCTGATTACATATCTCAGTTGTTTTCTTACTCCGGAAGAGTTTAAAATGCTACCTCTTGACTCTTGGTTGAGTGAGAGCAGATAATATTACATTACACCACAAGGCTGATGATGGTTATCAATCAATGACAATAATAATAATTGATTTATTTGGTCTATTTATATTTGAAATGTTATTTCCTCCTTTTCCATCTGATTTTTAATTTATATTTTTTAATAAATGTCACATGTGATCAGGGGTCAAGTCACGGGTAAAAAAAATGTGGGAACTCACCCTAGTTCCCCCCCCCCCCCCCCACCCCCCCAAAAAAAATGTGGGAACACCCCCGAGCCCCCCCCCCCCCCCCCCCCAAACCTCCAAAGAAAATGTATTTAATTCTTAGCAAATTCTTAATTTTGCCTATAAAAATAACAAGGTGTCAAAACATGGGGCCCTTTAAAGTTTTCTCAGTGGCCCTTATAGGGATTTGTGTTTAAAAGTAAAATTAGAAGCAATGATTAAAATATTATAAGAAGACGCACTACAGCTTTAGATCTTATAATTACTCTCATGTATCCTTTTAAGTAATTTGATTTTGAAACTCCCAAAGAAACTTAAGTTAAATTTGGTTTTAAGCAAATAACCTACTTTCATCCTTGATTTCTTTCAGCCAGAAGATTATAGAATATTTCAACACACAAGTCATGTAGATGACATGGTAGTGGTTGACTGTGAGATTGAAGCTCACTTTTTGGATCTTAACAAGTGTCAAAATGTGTCCAACCTGTTAGCTGAAAAACTTGGGCCTTCTGTCAGCATTTTGTTACCTCATTGCTACCATGCTCGAGGGAGTTTAGATAAACTAAGGTTCAACACTATTTTTAATCTCATTGATTTTAAAAAGAATTATGTTACAATCATTCATAGCTATTTTGAGTTAATTTTCAAGTTTAGTTATACCAATAATAACCAAAATTGTCTCTTCTTAAATATTAAATAATTAAAAGAAAAACCTCAAATTTTAGAGGTTTTTATATAATTTAAAAAATCAATTTTTGTTTATTAACACTGTCATGTTTTTCATGTGCCTGATAAAAATATAATGTTGAGTAGCTGCTTTAATTTTATTCTCAAATCATATTTATATTCTATAAGTTTAAAAAATACTATTTAATTAAATTAATTTTAGTGTTAAGTAAATTTGAAAAATAACAGTATTAACAGTAAGTCTTTTTTGTGTCTTATGTTCATTTTGATTTTGTAAAAAGGATATTTTTATATATCATTAATGAGCATTATTTCTAACTCTGATCAATAACTTAACTATTGCTACTATTCTTTAGGAAACAAGTAGGAATGTTAGCCATTCACAATGCCAGACAAAAAGCTCTTGAAATGGCTAGAGTTCTTCATCTTTCCGTTGGGCCAGCTTTACAGGTATCAGTATTGAAGTATTGTGTTCATAAACAATACCCGACAACAATTATTTATTTCTGTATCACTTAATAAAGTAAATTGTTTCAAGTTTAACTTCCCTCTTAAATTTGACTATTCATCAATTCCTTTGAGTTGCCAAGGATAGATGTCTAACCATACTTAAATTCTTTTTCTTCTAACCTTAGCTGACAGATATAAAGTTTAATGTTGGTACGGTACACTATGGAATTACCATATTAATGATGTTCACAGGGATGTGTGAAATGTAGTTGGGGGGGGGGGAGAGAAAGGGGTCACTCGCTCTGGGGTTCAAAATGATCTTTTAGATAGAACCTTTATAGTATAGTAAATTAAACGGTATAATGCCATGTACTTCACAAAGGCAAAGGGTGCCAAAATAGTCTTTTTAATGGTCAGCTACCGTAGCACTTTTTCTAAATATTGATGACCACCTTTCTCAGGCTTTGCTCAAGTTGCAAATTTTCCTCCATACCATCCTATTAGTTTGTACCATAGTCTTTTAACTTTAAAAATATTATGGATGTTAATGTGTCTGTTTACACATGGGAGAAAATTATTGTATTGCAAACTTGTAATTTCACATGATCTGGACATTTTTTCTTTTGAACATCTTGATGTTGTCCTTAATTTTGGTTTGGGTAAAACCATTTATTTACGGTACAAGTGTTAGAGAGTTCACTTGATGTAAATAACTGAATTTAGTTATAATACATGTTCTCATAATTTTTTATATTTTTTCTTCAAATAGGTTCAGGAGCTTGAAACAAATGAAATTCAAGGGACATCAAGATATATTGAGGATGAACCGAGCTTAAATCCTAGTATCCAACAAAATGTTGCAGATGCAACTGTCACAATAAACAGCAAAGTGTCTGTTTGCTTTCAGCTCAGACACCCAAAACCAAAAAGAAGTTAATTGAAGGCTCTTTTAATTTTTTAATACTGATACTTAGCCGATTCTTCCCACTCAAAATATTTTTTTTTAAACTTTAGAAATAAATAAGGAACAAATCAATAAATGTTATGATAATAGGTGCACTGAACTGCGCGTAAGCTTTGTAAAAGATCCTTTTGAAATTGGTTTCTGGGAGATTTTTAAATAGATAATAACAAGATAAGTTAGTGTAGCATGTCACATAGGTTGTTTTTTTAACTGAGCATTGTAAATTGACAAAATCTGATGCTCATTACTTATTCATATACCTTATAAGTTACTCTATACTTTTATAAATTATATTTCTTTTGTGCCAGGTGTAGATATATTTAGTCTTATTGTGTCATTATTTACCTTAAATTTTATTACTTAGCAGGATATTAACATTTTAACTTATTAAAATGTTATTTCCTGTGGAGATTTTTTAATACATAAATTTCATTAAATAAACTTTAGAACTGGCTAAAATTAAATACAGTAAATAAGAAAAATATTAATAAATCTGTATTCCAATTGCTGAAATTTTTGTGTATGTTTTTTTTTTTCCTGTTGCTCTGTAAAAGTTTATAACTAATACTAATAATTGTTGAAGATTAGTAGCTAATAGTTTATTGTGATCTTAATCTCTTATACAATAAAAAGAAAAAATATTCCCCTAAGGAAATTTATTTTCACCTGATAATGGCATCATGAATTCATCATTACATTATTCAAGCACTCAGCATTCTGGCAACAGTAAATTATTCAATTTTTAGTTTTTGTTTCCCTTTAATTACCTATTATTGAGATTATAAATCAAAATTAGTCTTTATGCGAAAAGTAATATCATTGCTAGCAATGATCTTGATGTGTGGAAAAAAAAAGAGTTATAATGTCTATATAAGACTGTGTTAAAAGTAAAATAAATATGTTTGTGTAGAGCGTTAACTAATTGGAAGTAATGTTTAAAGATCAAACATTAAGCATAATTGCTCTTTATTATGGTCAGTAGGCTACACTAGAGAATTGTGGGGGATACAATACGGAAGAATTGTTTGCACTAAGTGGGAAGAGGATGGGGGTAAAGGAGAATATATAAAGGATAGGGAATGTAGAAGGTAAGGCAACAGTCAAGTGGAGGTTGAGGGGAGGTAATGAATTTGGGGAGGGGGGGGTTTGAAGGAGAGGGGGGTAAAGAGGATTTGGTGGCCAGAGAGATAGTAGACGATGGGTGAAGGGCAGAAGAAAATGAGGAGCAAACCATAATAAATTTTACTTCTTGTAGTATGTTCCTTAGTGGAAAGTTAGTTAAAATAAAATTTGAAGAAGCAGTATGCCTCCTGAATTCTGATCTCAACTGAAAGAACTGTAATTTTCTCTAGTAATATCACATGAAAAAAGTGTGGTTTTATCCTAACCTAATAAATGGTGCAATATCAGGAAGACAAAGATGTACAGATTTTCATCATGTTCCTTTAATTCACAGTTTTGCTCTAATCAGCTTACAGACAGTTGGAAATAAACACGGAGTAAACCCATTAATAAATTTTAATATAAATATATGGTACTCAAATGCGACTCAAACAATACCGCAGCCGTAGGTAGTGCAAATTCTACATGTTAAAACCCTGTAAAGAAAACCCTGTACAAATAACCCTGTTGAAAATTAGTTTCTCATTTTTAGTGCGTTTAAACAGGTCTTTGAAAGAAAGTTTTTTTGTTTTTTAAAAATATTTTTTTAAAAATTAAAATATTTCAGAGAGCTAATACTAATATAAATTAGTCTGCACTTGTTACTATTAATAACATACCGGAAATCACTCTAAAAGTTAAAGCATGATCTATAAATAGATACTAGCAGTAAATGTCACTTGTACATGAATCACCGAACTGTAGAGAAACTAATATTAAATTGAACGTTTTAGAACTTAACGGACATTCGTTAGAAAAAAGGGAAATATCTAAATTTGAAAGAAAAAAGGGAATAAGTCTAAAATAATTAGAGGTAAGAACTAAATGTAAGAATTTACTTATAGTTAGAGGAAGTAGGCAACTGGCAACACTTATTTATTTACTTATTTATTAATTAAAAATTAACACTTGACTTTGCACTTTGACAACACATTTTTTCATTATAAAGTAAAGTATAAAGTCAACAAAGTGACTCAGTTCAGAGTGTTCAGTATCACTGTCAGTATAATCAGTTAATCATTGAATTGTAACTTGTAGTTGTAGTGAAGTGGGTATGTTCCTTCCACAGTGAGTAGTAGTAGTTAGTTAACTTAACGTTTATAGTGTATAGTTATATTATGAAGTTTATGGAACAAGTGTAAGTGGATCATCTTGGGCCTTGATTCTTGAAATTTTAAAAGTAACAATTTACTTCAATTAAGTAGACAACACTTAGCAATATAATGAAGTACAAAGTTAATAAAGTGAACACAGTACAGTACAGTGACTCTGTTCAATCACTATTCAGTGTCACGGTTAATAATCAGTATTATTTAATTGTTATTGAAATTGTACCGTAACTGATAGTATATATAGTGATAGTGAACATGGAACTGTGTGAACATGGAACTGTGTACGGTCTTCTGACTCAATGGTAATGTTTATCAATAATCAAATTATTCAATTGTCTTGGGCCTTGATTCTTGAAATTTATTTAAAAAATTAAGATAAAAATAATATATTAAAAGTTACGTGTAGTCTTAGCCAAAAGCAAAAAAGTGATTTAAATTGAACAAACTAAGTTTATTTCTTAAACAAGGTACTAAGTTAAAATGGCGACTTAGTATTAGTAGACTGTTAAAATTAAAAATACATGATTGAACAATAATTTATTGCTTGTGAACAATAATTTATTGCTTGATACTCACTGGGACCCAGTGACAGTGGCATCGGCATGGCATGGGCTTATACTTATTTAATTATTTATGGCAAAAGAGAATTGGACCTACTACTTGACTTAATTAAATCAACTTGCTTAGACGTACTTAGTTAACTTAGTACTTGTTACTAGTTAGTCTAGCTAGTAAAGTTATAATATTAATATTAATATAAAAATGCATCCCTCTGCGTTATCTATATAATTTATACTAGTTTAGCTCAAACTAAGCTTAAATTGAAGTGAATATAATATAATATTAATATCAATCAAGGAAATATACCTGGTGAAAGTATTTTGGGAAGTGGTGTTTTGCTCATCCAATTGTAAAAATAAATAAACTTCACTTTGATTATTTCTTATGTCTTTATTTTGATGCTATTTTGTAAATATTTTGTATTTTGTAATATATTAGTCTAGACAACTATTAGTAATCATACATGCCAACCTGGATGGTTTACCCGTACTTTGTACAGATTTTAAACGTTGTTCAGGTTGTATGACATACAGGCTTTTGTATGGTTTTTCACTGGATTTAGAGAAGAAATATATATGCACATGACAGTGACACACATTTGAAATATTGAAATATAATTGGCATCAGACAATGCTATGAATTCAAAATTGGTCAAAAGGACGCTCAAATCCTCTTGTCCTGTTCAAAATTACTTTTGGCCCAAATTCTGGGATTGTAGGCTATCTATATTTTACTGTTTCAATAAGAACGTTCTTTTATACAATAGCCTTGTATTTAAAAAAATAATCTACATGAATTTTCCCCCTTTATGGTGAAAGTAAGGCTAAAAATTGATTGTCAACATAATAACTTTGACAAGATGGAAAAATTGAATTTCCATTTGTAAATTTAAATACAGAAACCTATTTTACTACAGCGAGCATAATTAACCAAACAATGTGCCTAATTACAAGCTAGTTTTATTTTAATAGATGTTATCTATCTTAATGTAAACATGCTAACACAGCAAAGGGAAAAAATTCATAAATATTTACTAAAAAGAAGACAAAATTTGCACGCATTGAAAACATTGATAGTTAAGTGATGAAAATATAATAAATTATACTTTTTTTTTCCTTCAAATTTTCATTATTTTTTTATTCTGTGCAGTTTTTCATGCTGTTTTACAATTTTTTTTTTTTTTTTAAACAGTTTTTGATGCCGACAGGTTTTTAGGGATTTATACTAGTCCAAACTATTATTTCAGTAATATAGTATGCCTCTCAGTAAACAGATAGACTAATCAGCTCAAGAGTTAATATTTTATTTAAATGGAAATTGTTATTCAAATGAGACATCCTTACGTTCTATTTTTAATAGATTGGAATATCTTTAACTTTAAATCCTTTATTTATTCTTTTCAAAACAGAAGTTCGATCTGACCAGACTATCATCATGTTTAAAAGTGGACCTAACTACACGAAACTAAAAACAAATTTAAGACTAATAATCAACAGATTAAAGCTCTTGGAGAAGAAAAAAACGGAAATGGCTCTTAAGTCTAGGAAAGAAATAGCTGATTACATTTCAGCTGGAAAAGATGACAGAGCTAGAATTCGTGTGGAACATATCATACGTGAAGACTACCTTGTTGAAGCCATGGAACTTTTAGAAATGTACTGCGATCTCTTGCTGGCTAGGTTTGGTTTGATTCAGACTCAGAAGTAAGTAGACCTATATTAGACCCACCATATTAAATGTTATCTGAAACACTATTTACTTGATAAACCAGTTTTAGGTCTTTATATATCCATTTGAAAAATTTTTGGATCTTTAACTTCAGGGAGCTTGACCCAGGACTTGAAGAAGCCATTGCAAGCATTATTTGGGCAACACCAAGGCTGCAAGCAGATGTCCAAGAACTTAAGGCAGTTACAGAAGAATTTGCTCGCAAATATTCACCAGAATTTGCCCAGGCATGCAGATCAAACGCCCTTAGTAATGTCAATGAAAAGGTAAAGTCATAATTTTTTTTATCTTTATCAAACAATGCATACAAAAATGTGCACTAGCATCTTTAGAAAAGTTATATTGGTTATGTTATTAAAATTATTGGAGTTTTTCAGCAATTAATATATAAAACCTATACTTTTAAAATAAATGATCTAAATGATGTCAATTTCTAAAATTAGTAGCAAATTCCTGTTTGATCATTTGAAATTCATTGTTTATAATTGTATATTATTTTAAAATAAATTTAAGCATTGTTTTATTTTTTAATGTATTTCTTTGAATGACGGATGTGTTATGTAAGTGTGTTAGTTTGATTTTCTAAGGCAAGTTTTTTGCTATATTTACTAATATTGCCAATGCATTGCCTATGCACAGACACATACTTTAAAGGATCTTTAATTTGTTTGCAATCCCATCTTCCAAGTCTGCATATTTAGAATGTGGCATGATTATATTTGTATGTTAAACTTGATTAATTACCTTATGAAGCTATACAACTTCCTTGTCAGCAGTAACTTCTTGTGGGTTGTAACTGATAAAATATAAAAGTTCTGATTTTCATATGTTTTATTGCTACATTTTCTTTTATTAATAGCATATTTATACTTCACTCTTCATTTTTTTTAATGTATTTTTTTTAGTCATCATTAATATTTTTCCTGAAAACCTAATAAATTTAATAAAATGTATTTATTGAAAAGGATTTTAGGTTGAGCTGCCATAGTTACTCCCAATGTCATTTAACTTTAAAAAAATTTTGAGCAGGTTATGCACAAGCTATCGGTTCAAGCTCCCCCAAAGTCATTAGTGGAACGTTACATGGTTGAAATTGCAAAGACTTACAATGTGCCATTTGAACCTGACCCATCTGTGATGCATCAAGATGAGATATTGCTGGCAGAAAATCTGTTGATAGATTTAAATGAAGATAGGAAGAACACAGGAGGCAGCGGCGGTGGTGGGCCAAGGGGTGGAATGGGCATCCAACAGCCAATGAATTACCCAGCAGTACAACCATTACCTTTAGTGAGTTCTGGTCTTCAGCTTACCAAGTGCCTTATTCTGATTATTTTATGAATTATTAAAATGTCTTAAATTGTTTAAACTAAATGTTTTCTACTCAAAGCTAATTACAGTTCTCAAATTGAAAAGACTTTTATTTTCATTACTACTTATACACAAAATTAAAAGGTATGTTATTTCTATCACATTTAAGAAACTTATGCTTTAATAAATTGTTAACCATTAAGTTTGTGTTAACAATAATTGTACATATTTCTTCCATCAATAACTAGAACTATCCATCAGGACCAATGGCATCAGCACCCCCTCCTCTTCCCAACCAACCACCTCATGGAGGTTTAAGTCTATACCCTTCAGGTTATCAACCTCCAGCCTACAATTCTGGTGCTCACTCTGCACCTGCAGGACCTCCTAATTTTGATCAGCTGTATAATGGTAATGCCAAGCCAGCGTATCCACCAGGGCCTTCTGTGTCTGTGCCACCTTCAAGGCCTCAGCAAAGTAAGACATAATCATTGATGGCATGCACATAGGAATCTATCCACACTCCAGTCGAAACGAGCCACTTTTATTGATTACACTACATTTTTTTGTTTTGTTGTCTTCTTTAATTTTTCACCTTTCGAGGCCTGGCAAGTGAAGGTTTGTGGTCACGTCCCAGTACCGTATGTGAACCAACATTTTTTTTAGAGAAACACTGCTCTAGATAATATTTTTAAAAGTTCTAATGTTCCTCTGCAGCTATATGAACATGTGCTTTAAGGTTCTGTTGGCCTGCTTGGCTTATAAAATTTAGTTAAGTCTTAATTGATGATGATTTGCCATTGATGATAAATATCTGTAAAATAATTAAGTTGATACCCTTATAAATAAAGAAATGGTCATTTGGTTAAAAGTTGTCATATTTGTTTAGAAATATATCCCCTAAATGTCCAAATTGTTTCCATGACATGTGATATGCTATTTTTAAACTCAGCAGAAGATACTGACAATATGATGTAGAGTAAATGATTTTTCTTCATTGAAAGTTTGACTGATTCTGTCGAAGATTTGTCAGTGCCAAAAGCCATGGTTACTTTCTTTGTGGCGGCAATGAGGGAAATAAAATGAAATGCTTAATTGATTGGCCATTTTTTATTTCAAGTAGATAGAAATTGTATTCACTGCTAATAGCATATGAAACTGATTTCTAAGATATATATGAATCAGTCAATATTAAAAAATCTACCATTTAAATAATGCATCAGTTTTAATCATATTTATATTTGTCATCAATGCAATGGCAGGAAATATTTCAGTACATAAATTAATGCTGAGGAAAAAAGGAATCTTACATAGTTAGTCTTCTAGTTTTACTTACACAGACAATCTTACCTTAAATATGCTGTATGTGTTTTACAAATCATGTTTTCTGTTTGCTAAAATTATAAAGAAACATTTATTTGTGTTTCAGAGAATGAAGACTTATTTCCAGAACTACCAACTGTTCCAAACAACACTTTGCCAGATCTGGGCAACTCTGTTGGGGGGAATTCTGCGGGAGATGACGTAGACTTTGATGATTTGACGCGAAGATTTGAACAGTTAAAGAAAAAGAAGTGAAAAATATTAATCGCTCCTTTTTAAAAATATATTTTCTATAATTTAAAATCATACAGTAATTTTTTGCAGACTCTAATTGTTGCTAAAACATTATTACCATATACTAAAGCATGTCATCTCAAAGGTTTTTTTAAAAACAAAAAGGACAGCAAAAATCAAGTAATAAGTCTATTTCGGAGGACAGTCACCATTTTCTATAACTACTTAGAGTTTATTTATGATACCATCAATAGAACTTTGTATAATTTATTGCATTCCTAGATAACACACCCTTTTGTTGTGATAGTAAATACTCTTTTGTAATTAGCAAACATACTAAGGCTTGTGACTAGCTACTTTTTGTTTGGAGTCTTCAGATTTCTGTTTCCTCATTTTTATAAATACAATAATAGACAACCCTCAATTTATATGCTGGTTGAAGGTCTTTGGGAATTTAAGATGGAACCCATCATATCAGTGGGAAATCAAAGGGTTTGGTTACCTAAATTTAATAATTTTATAGACACTGGGCATAAGCAGTCAGTTACTGCATCTTTGCTTTGGAGAAATATGACATGTAGTGAAAAAAAAAAGAAAATCCAGTGAATCCTTTAAATACATTAATAAAAAAAATAAATATTCAATCTGAAATTTTATCTTGTGGCTAAATAATGTACATAAATCATTAAATATGTATTTAAAATCTGCCTGGCTTAGACTTGGCTCCTTATTATCAAAGTTATCAAATGGATGGATTGTAACAGTGAATTCAGTTTAATTTTTTTTAAAAACAATAATAATGCAAACGGATATTACATGTGCGTGTTAGTGTTGCCATAATCCAGCAAAACAAACATTAAACATTTTTGTCTGCTTATTCTGAGGCCAACTATATAAAGCTAAAAATATAATTGACAGAATATTATGATCATGATGTTTACATAAATGATTGTGGAACCCTATCTGAAAATTGTGTGAAATCATATATCGGTAGCTGAATTATAAAAATTCTAGTGAATATGTCCAATACATGTACCGTACTTAATTGTGTATAAATATAATTTACCAATGCCAGGTATAAATAGACTTGTTTATTCATGTGTTTGTCAGATCTGGGCATTTGTTCAGGAGGGATGGTAAGGGGTTATTTGGCAAAAATATATGCAGTTAAAGGGGAAAAAAAATAAACGTTTTTCTTGTACATATAATATGTTATAAATTCTTTTGTTTCGTTCTAATTTGCCACAATATATATTACACATCTTTATTTTTCAGAATACTATTCTCGTAATATGTTATGTCAATTCGTTTAAGAAATTCCCTGTCCTGTAATATTTTTGAAAGCTTTGTGTGAAAAAAATTGCCTCAAGGAAAATCATAATTGAAACAAACCAAAATAATTTTTGTTCGCTTTGCATTTAACTTTTATTTAATGTATCTAAAAAAAATCATTTTTGTATGCAATCAACATACTGATATCATAAAGTTCACATGTAAATAGCTCCTTGTAAATTTATTGATTCAACATACAGGTACCTAATACTATAGACCTATTTTTTACTTAATATAACTTACTTTTTTATAGCATTCGTTAATATAAAGTAGGTCTACTAAAAATGGGCCTAAGCAAGCTGTCCAAACTCTAAGACTAAAATGAGTACTTCACAAATAAAGTATTTATCATATTATTATTCTAATCATATACAGGATATGGTCTAATTTGTTTGTGTTAAGTTAAATCTAATATAAAGTAACCTAGACCTAGTCTAGGCCTAAAACATATTAGGCTTAGGCCCGATAGCCTATTTATTATTATTGGCTTAAATTATTAAATTAGGCATAGCCTAAAATTTAGGCTTTATTTAGTGTATTAGACTCATTCTCATTTATTAGACTAACTCACTTCATGTACCGTACATTAAGAAATTTCAAGCACGTTATTATATTGCCGCCATATTGGTTTTTGTTTATCTTGATCATCGGTGATCATGACGCTTTTTGGCAATCTCTTGGCCGTCGACATAACCGGGTTCTACTGTATAAATTTAAGTGTAAAGAAGAAGGCTGGAGAGCCTTATGTGAAATAAGACTACAAATTTGGAATTGATATGGTTTATCAAAATATTGAAGTGTTGATACACCATTTTTTTTACCTCCATATTTACTATTTCAATGAAATACATTTTTCCTTGTTATAAAGCACCTTTTCTCCAGGGAAAGTATTAGCCAATTTAAGTTTTAGTATAATCATCTGGGTGGGGGTAACATTACCACCTTGCTATTTTATTATAATTGACAGTGAATCTTGTTTTTTTTTAGGAGTTTTATATTCCTTTGTTTTGTAATGTGAGTGAATAGAAACTGAAACCAGGAGTTGCAAAAAATGTGAAAACTTGGGATATAAATAAACTAGCTTCAGTATTGAAAAGTAGAATTTTCTGTATGTCGCCTGCCTTGAATAAAAATAAAGTTCATATGAATTTGATTTAGTCAGGTTTGTTCCCTTTCAGATATCAAACTAAAGTAATGAGTTATTTCTATGTAACTATTAATGGTTAGAGATCTTTTTAAAATGATAAACACAGGGAAATCCAAAACAGCATTTTATCACTTTTATAGACAATAATAAATTGACAGTACATTTTAAAGTACCCAGTCTGATTCAGTGTTAGATAAGTAAACAAGTCTTCTAATATCTAATAATAAAATTTTCACACATATATACACAGATAATTATGAAATAACAATTAAAATTTGCCCTATTACAATTTTTTTTTGATTAGGTCACACAAATTTATAATGGGTAACTACACTCAACTCATCAATCTCATAAGATAATAATCTTTCATATAAAGGAGAGCTCAGCAACCGTCGTACAGTGGCATTCTCGTGTGCCACTAGACAATGTTAAGTGTGCCCCAGCAAAATTCTCAGAGGGGTGAAAAACAAGTGATGAAAACAAAAATATGTTGAAACAAAAGGGGCAATGATTGGCTTATTAACAATTTGTCAAATGTTTGAAATCAAATAGTTCAGCACAAATATATATAAATTTGGGTAGTCCCGTGAAAACATCTCAAACCTTAATAAGTCTTAAGTAATCAGTAAAATATTGGTCTGTTGCTTTAACCTTTAATCACACGCTTTTCACACATGTACTGTATACTACTTGGAATAAGTGTTTGCTGGTTTAAAAAAAATTCTTTACACTACTGAGGTAACATTTCATGACTGACAGATGAAAGCAAACCCAACACAAACTAAGCCCCATACCTGAAGGATTTGTGTAGGAAGGGGATGCATTAGAGGGCGGGCATATTCGGCCAACACAGATTATTTGTCATGGGGGTGGGGGTGAAATATCTTGAACCACCCCGCATGGCACTAAGCCACTGTTACCAAAGATCATTAATCTCATTGTAAAATAAAGGATAGTTGACCATTTTTTTCTTTTCTTGTTTTAATTGTGGTGTGCCTCGGAAGTCTGGGAAGGGTCTGGGTGCACCGTGAGGGGAAAGAAGTTTGCGGAGGACTGCTTTGAAGTAAAAAAACAGTTAATGCTAAACATTTCATCATATTTACAGCCTTTCTCTCAATCAAAAACCCATATGTTAGCCATTCTGTGATTTTATTCTTTGTCACAACAAAACTACACAACTGACTAACCCACATCATAATTGATATGAATTTACTAGCAAACAGATAAGAGATTATGTGGTCCTTGGGTAAACTAGATGGTAAACCAGCAGACTCAACTGGGTGGCAATGGAGGTACCTGACTCAAAGTTATTTAATCATCAAGATTCATTTTTTAGAAGTTTTGGATAAAATAAAAGTAAATTTAAGCATATATGAATTCACCTCTAAAAATAATCTAACCATTAATAAGCACTATGTGACATGTGTAGCAAAATTCATATTTGAAAGTCAAATCTGGAAGAAAAAAAATGGCCATATATAAAGGAAATGATTGTCTCCCTAAAATTATTTATTTAAATACCCATTGCACTGACAAGAAATATTTCAGATTAAAAATATAAATGGCTCTAAGCAAATAGTAATTAAAATTTATCATCACAGAACTTATTCCATTTCTTGAATGATAAACTAGTCAAGTGTTGAACAGCTTGTAATGCTTTTTGCCTTCATGTAACTCAAGCTTCAATTTTAGCAAGAGCATGCTCAAGAAGACTGAGGTCCCCTGAAATGAAGAGTTTTAACAAAAAATTATCTTTTAGCATAGTTGCAGCAACAATAGATTATGACAAAAAAAAGTATAACAAACTTTAATTAAAATCTATAAGTATAAGCAAAATGATATATGTAAGTTTTATTTGAAAATGAAAAGCTAGTCCAATCAGCAAGTCATGCTTCTAACAATAAGGATCATATTCTTGTTGCATGACTAATTTGAAAGATTTTATAGTGTTTTTGTGTGTTCATTTTTGCAAAGCATGATTCTCTATAACTAATAATTAAACCTAAAAAGTTATTATCTTGGCTAGAAAAAGATGCTAATATTTTTAATACAATGCAAAAAAGTCATTTATAGGTGACTAAAAAAAATAATAGAGCTTTCATTATCATTTTAAATAAGATATGTATTGTTTTTTCAAAAAATAATATTGCCGCTAAACAATTTTATGTTTTGTTACTAACCTCTGATATCTTTGCTCAGGTTAATGATCTGTTGTTTGCTGTTAATGACCTCAACACTCTGAGTGTAAGGATTGTAGCGCACACTAAAAGGTCTTGGAATAGTTGCAGCGAATTGCCTGGAGGAAAGAAATGTAACAAAAATGTCTCAGCAAGAAGTGAAATAAATGTTCCACACAAAAAATAACAAAAAAATCATACTGTATCGTCAAGACATTTATTAATGAAGGATGATGCAACCCCAGGGTTCTGGTGGACATGTCTGTAGTGACATGCTGGTTAAATAGGTGCTGCTACGAACCCCCTAGTGTTAACCTGGGAAAATAACCACCCCTGCATGGGCAGACAAAGGCCATGCATGGTATCTGCCGAAATGGTAGCAACTGCAGTGCAAACTAGCCTACACCAGGTGTGGTCATGTCTGCATTTAAAATAACAGTAGAAACAGGGCAGGGATCATGATAGCCTACTATGTTGCGTATGATGGATGTTAGACAAGAGGTGGGTAGTGGCAGTGTACAAACCTAACCCCTGGCTAAGGTGGCCCCCGTAAAGCTATTCAATCGAATGAAATAATGAGCCTGGGCTGTCTTAGCGACCCTATCGTTAAGGGACTTTTCTGGCTTAAAAAAAAAAGGGGGGGGGGGTTACTTTGAGAAGGCCATTAAGAGCTTTGGCTCACTAATTCCTAATTAACATATTAAAGGTGGTTGCAGTTATTTTTTGCCCCTTTTAAGAAGTGGGTAGTGGCAGTGGACAAACCTAACCCCTGGCTAAGGTGGCCCCCGTAAAGCTATTCAATCGAATGAAATAATGGGCCTGGGCTGTCTTAGCGACCCTATCGTTAAGGGACTTTTCTGGCTTAAAAAAAAAAGGGGGGGGGGGTTACTTTGAGAAGGACATTAAGAGCTTTGGCTCACTAATTCCTAATGTACATATTAAAGGTGGTTGCAGTTATTTTATGCCCCCTTTATTTCCTTCAGCCTTAAACAGAAGTATTATGTTCCAGAGGTTGCCTCAGCAAATAAACAATTAAATATGAATATAATTGAATCTATTTAATTTTATAAAATGTATTATTTTTATGTATATCTTGTACAAAAATCACCTCATTAATGAATGTTGAAACAAATTAATTTCTTTTGCCATTGTGGACAAATAGCACGACCCATAAATAATATATTCTGGATCCTCACGCACTTACTTGACTTTCACTTTAGCTGTGTCAAAACTTTCAGCCACAAAATATACTGGTTGGAAGCTGGTTATTGGATACTCTTGCTCACAAGTCTTAACAGGATCAAAGGGAAGGACTTTTGGTTTGTCACTGAGGCAGTACTGCAATGAGTAATTAATTCAAATCAATGCAGAAATGTATAAGTGATTCACTAATGTAAAATTCTTCTTAATAAAACTAAATCCCATATCTTGTACAAAAAAATCATCTTGTACACTGACCAGCAATGGATTTGATCAAATAACTGTTGTTGGTGTTCATTTACATACCATGATTTAAATTTTTGTCGCACTGAGCGCACTGAGGCATTGTAAAATCTTTTTTTCACCTCTGTATTGAAAACTTAATGAATAAAGGGTTAATTTAGGTTACCTCCAACTCTCCAAATGAAGAAAGCAGGCCAGCTCCATAGGCCTTGAGTCCACTCTCTTGTTGGCAGAGACCAAACTCTACTGTAAACCAGTACAACTGAAAATGAAGTCAATGATTTTTTAGGATCTGACTCCCAGTGAGGCAGTGACCACAACTGTTTGTTACTGCGTTATTGATTTTAGAGCAATAGGACAATCACATTTAAATGAACTGGAGGGTATTATAAAAGCTGTTCAAATTATACTATTTATAGATAAGATGAAAAATTATTTTAAAAAAAATTGGTTTACCATATCTATGGACCTGGTTTTATGCTCAATAAGTAGTAAATCACCAATATTTCTTAAATTAAGCATAATTATATCATATAACAATAATTATAAATGTATAAACTAATAGTAATAGCCAAGTTTTCCCACATTAATATTGCCCAATTTATATGTAATCAATTTAAATTTTTAAAACTTTTAAGCAGCACTTAACATTACTTACAGTGGCCAGTTTTTTAATGTATTCATCAGGAGCGCCAAGACTTGCCAAGCCAATTTCTTGAGAGAATTGTGCAAAGGACGGATCAGCAAATAAAGGAACATGTCCAAGCAGCTCGTGGCATACATCTCTAATAAATTCACGAATTAAAATAGGTATTGCTTGAGTAATGGAGCTCATGCTTTGTCAATAATCCAGCAATAAAAATGTCTATAAGTGCCATCCATAAATGACATAACGCTATTTAAGCCGAATTTTTAAATTTATCTCTCAAGTTAGATACCTTCATCAAACATGCTCACAAATTTATGACTACCAGTCCCCCCAGAGTGCATCACATCATTTATGGACGCCCCCAAATTGAAATAAGAAATGACTTATTCAACTTATATCAGGGTTAAAATATATATTTTAGCTGACTAAGTTTAAGTAATATGCAAGAAAAGTAAAAGTTTTAGGATTAATTAAAGCTTGTGAATCTGTATCACTGTTGGATATTAAGTATTGAAAGCTGGAAACTTACGGTTCAGGAGTGTACATTGGCTTTGAGCCATGTCTGATGTACTGGGTAGAGTGAAAAACTCTGAAGGCAAGGCCAGCCAGAAAGTCACGGGATGACAGAAGCCCAGCAACTGGCCTTAAGGAAAAACCTGTGCAATCTGGGGATTTAAAAAAGTTTAACTCAACTCTAACTTTCTCTGATTAGAATTTATCTTTGGTTGCTTTAAATACTAATGTCACTCACTTTTTTCCTTAAAAAATGGCTTTGGATAATAAAAATAAGTCATTGAGTTTGCATGTAAAGATGACAGCTCCCTCAGAGCCCAATACTGGACATTTTCACACAGAAAAAAATCCAGATTTTCTAAAAGAGCTTATTTGATGTACCTGGATGATATAGCTTGAAAGTAAGCCTGAAACAAACAACATCATCCAAACACCAAAAGGAACTTCACTTAAAAGTTAATGAATGTAATAATGGAGGAATGTCTTTGCCAATATAAACAACTATATTCAGTAGCAAAACCAGTTTTACGTTCTGCAATTACCTTTGAGAAAATCTGATATGTCCTGTAGTTGTGGGATGTTGTCTTCTCTGAATCCACAGTTGTCAACAAGCAGAGGAAAGATATGGTTGAATTCACGGCATGCGTGCGTAGGATACAGCTTTACCAATTCTCGGAAGATTGTAGACCTAAGGAAGAAGCAGTCAAAATTTAAAATTTGTTCATCCTCAATAAGTGTGGTACACTTGAAACTGAAATTATTGTAAAGCAGAATAGCTTACATAGGAGTTCTTATCAAAACAATGATGAACATGTTTTAACAAAATGTACTAAAATATATGCAAGATATTCTGTTACAGTAAAGCTTTAGTAAAGTTGCTTCAGGTATTAAAATTAAATTATTAATAACACTGATATAAAGAAGTATTCACCAGGTTTTTATTTCTGCATTGGTATACTCAACTGTAGGAATAGTTTGGCCACTGCAAAATAAACATCCTTTGTTTAATCTGAGCAAACTGATTGGTGAACAATTAAAATATTCAAAAGGAAATATTTTAATCAATCGAAATCTGGTATCTAAACTTGCTAATTGTTGATATGTTAGTTTAGGTAAATCTTTCAAAATAGATACTCATAATGTTTAATCAAACTAAACAGAAACAAAATAATTTGAATCAAAACCAGATCAATGTTTTAGATGACAAAATTTATAGATATTTAAAATTATTGCTGTAAACCTATAACACTCACTACTTGTAGTTGAAGGCAATATCAGCAAATTCCTTTCTCCTCTCTCTGTATACAGGATCGGTGAAGCCCTGTTTATTTTTTAAAAGAAAATGTTGCAAAGGGTTAATCTCTATACTGACTATATTCACTGTATAGGCCTAATGACTAATGATCTAAAAAATATTATGAATATCATATGTTTGTTAACATTATAACATACATTAAATCGTAACTCTCAGAAAAATCTTAGAATTATGTAAACCATTTAAACAACCATATGAGTCATATCTGATATTCAGTAACAGGAGTAACATACCGGGTGGTCAGCATCCAACTCTGAGCCATAGCTTAGAATTTGGTTGGCAAATCTGTCCAATTCTTTGATCCTCCTTGGGAACCATGGGACTGTAAAAATATCGATTAACATTTAAAAATTAATGTTTACATAAATAATAAAATATTAAAGTATTTGGTGTTAATTTTTGGAATAAAACTATTTTCTTCTAGTGATTAATGTAAATTGGGTAGTGGTTGCTACCCTACCCCCTTCTGGCTACCAGGCTTGTTGGGCTACACATCTTTCCATGGCGTTTCAGGGGTGGGGAGGTGAAAATAGTTTGAATTTCAACATTACCAGGTAGGCTAAATTTAAACAATTTATCACTTGATAAAATATTTAGCATTTAAAACTAGGTCAATATTTAATATATTTGCTACTATAAATTTAAAATAACAATTTACAAAAGTTATTTCTGTTAAATTAAATAAATATTTTTTTTTCATTTGATTTTGTTTATTTTTCTTCCAATTCCATTTGCTACTAAATAACTTCAATAAGTAACATCATTAGGCTACAGCTTTAAATGAAAATGAAATTATTGAATTAACGCACGTTTACTTTTTTTGTATAAAGACTTTAATATAAAATTATAAATAAAGAAAAATTAATAAAACACAACTAACTCTACCAAAGAAGCCAACTATAACGTGATATTTCATATAGATTCCCAAGCCCAAGCTACAAAAATTTCCTTTTTTCCGCAAATTAAGATATTAAAATCAAATAATTTAAAAAAAAAAAAAAATTAATGGTAACATTTTGTGCTAAACTTTTGACAAATAAAAATTGGAACGTAAAGGTAAAAATAATTATAATTGTAATTCAAATCATTGGAAGTCTAATTTTAAGACTGGAATTTATGCCTAAAGCTGATCAAAAGGATATTATGAACTAAAATAAAAATAAGTAGGATATTTCTCTGAATCTGTTTTAAAAAATCATAGATGTGTGAAATGGTGTAATAATTGACTAAACAAATAAATGAATCTATGTAAATGTAAGGTTACTTGTGATAAATAGGCTATAACATCATGAATGATATGGCTACTGAAATAGAAATATAAAAAAAATGGTTCCGTGAAAAGTAAAAAAAATAAAAATTTAAACAAAAGCAGAATTAAAGAAAAATAAACACACACAAGAAAAAAACAACAACAAAACTATAACCGGGACTGTAAGCAGATTTAAAATAAGCATTGACTTGACTGTAATGTGTCAGCAATTTATGTTAAAAATAATGATCTACCAAATATTTAACTATAATAGTCTATGTTAGACTATAAACGACGCCTTCACTCGTCTTCTATCCGACTCTTTTTTTTTTTTTATAACTTATAACTTATCTTAAGGCTTTTAAGCAAGTTAAGGAACTTTAGATTAAAACTGAATTTGTTGCAATGAGCAATGTTCGGCGCATCCAACGAAAAAATAAACTTCACTTTGTTAAAACATTTAAATAATTATTAACACTCTTCTCAGAGTTAATGGGGTAGTTTTTTCAAATTTTCAATGGCTCAAAAAAAAAAAAAATAAATTAAAAAAATATTAAATAAGTATTTACCCCATTTATTGAAAGTGTCAATAAAAAAACAAACAACAAAAACAGACAACTTTCAAGATACCCACATTTTTTTACTATAAATTATAGTATAATTCATATCCATCTCAAGATATATTTGTCGTCATTCAAATAACAACTCACATTGATTCAGGTTTAGCAAAAATTAAAAATAATAAGAGTTAAAACAGGTACATTAAATGTATATATTGTTAAGAAATAAGGGAACGAAAAAAAAGCAAGTTTAAATACACGTAGAAGAGATTTTTAAACACTATTACTATTACTATGATTATGATAGGTTAATAAATACATTAAAAAATTAAATTATGGATAAAACTGGGTGTAATTTAAAAATGAAACTTAAGTCAAGAGACATTTACAACCTTATTACAGTTTTATAAAATTGTTTGAGTTAAAGAGATCTGCTTGTTGGTACAGTACTTGAAGTTTTGCCGATTTATAAAATAAAGTGTTTTTTAAAATAATTAATTACATCAGTGTTAAACAGCCTATAGTTTAAAAATTGTTAAAATTAATTTCTTAAGTTAGTTAAGCTGTATTAATAAAGGATGCTGAAGTAAAAAGGGGAAAACATTAAAAGAAAAATTGCAATATTTTGAAATGAATTAAATAAAAACACAAAAATGGTACGTACCTAATTCACCTGATTTAAAAACGATATTAGCAAAATTATTATTGATTGATTTCAATTAAATTCTCTTTTGAATTATAGCCTGTAGGTTATAGCCTAATTTCTATATACATTTTGGGATTAAAAAAAAAAAAAGAACGGTTTGGGTTTTTTTGGTGTGCCTTGTAACTTATACCGGTACCGAAATTAACAGTAGGCCCTAAACTAATACACTACTAGCATACATACGATCAGAATTTCTTTCAGCTATATCTCCGGGGGCACTGCCCCCCCCCCCTCCGGAGAAAGCCAAGTGTCCATACTGGCAAGTATCATACTGTTGGCACCTCCCCTCCCCGAAAAATCTGAAGTGCCCCCCCCCCCGGGGGAAATATCTGAAATAATCACTGCATACGATATTAACTACTTGATATGTCTGTTTATTAAGCCTACGAATGATCAGGGGTGTATACATGGGGGGGGAGGAAGGCACCCGTTTGTTCCAATGTGAGTTAGAGGGGGGGTTAAATCCCCCCCCCCCCGGGGATGGCTTTAGAAATTCTCCAAAGAGCAAAATTAATATGGGAAAGGAAAAAATACAAATACTAATAATTTAAACTATTTTTTTTCATGATATTTTTGGCAATTTGACAAAAGGATTTTTTAAACCACTCAAGATATTAGTACTAATTTAGGCTTTGCTGAGGATTGAACTACATTGATTGAATTAGAATCATTTTCAACTCACATCCATCTAGCTACCAATCAAACAAATGAATTTTTAGTAATAAAATTTTTAAAAATTATCATAGTCCTAAGAAAATTCATTTTTCCAGCAATCGCTGGATTTATTAATTTGATTTGCTGAAAAATCTTGTTAATTTCTGAGCTATTAGAAAAAAATAAATTGTAGTCGTTTGTTATCAATAATAAGTAGTCAACAATGTTCTTACAATTTTTTTATCTGTAAATTTGTGTAGAACTAATAATATTCATACTTAGCTCTCGAAATAAATACCCAAAAATAACATGACTCATTGAGCTGACCAAGGTCCAGGTGGGTGAGGGTTGACTTCCATGACTGTAGGGGCGGGGTGGGGCGTTTACGCCCCTGCATTCGATATTAACTACTTGATCTGTCTATCTGTTACCTTTTAATGTCACTCACCGTTTTAAGTTGCGATCAAAAAGTCCTAATCCGGTCACTAATAAGGAATGGGAGTTGTGAAATTTGATGGAGATGGCTTATCAACTATTTTACATTTGGACTATTATACTTATATATTATAGCACAACCCTCTCCAAACATATCTATTTAGGGCCTCATGTGTCGGTATTCGAACATTTCTCATACCATGGATCAAATATCTATCGTTTACTCTCCGTTAACGAGGAGGTTAAAATCAGGATCGCAATAGCATCCATTATGGCTAAATTGTATAAGTGGGACTGGAATAATCTTAAACTATCTGATAGTACAAAATTAAGCGTCTATCAGGCATGTGTGTTTGGTAAGCTCTTATATGGCAGTGAAGTGGGGATCACAAATGCCAGTCAACTTCCATCAAAGGTGTCTGCGTCGCATTTTACGCATTCGATGACAGGACAAGGTGCCTAACACAGAGGTTTTGGAACGTGCGAAAATGTGTATCATATTCTCCACCCTTAGCAAGAGGCATCTTCACTAGTTACACCATGTAGGGAGAATGGAGGAAGGCCGTATTCCATAGGATCTGCTGTATGAACAGAAGGGGGCAAGACTTATTGGATGGCTGCGCCTGCGATTTAAAGACGTTTGCAAAAGGAACATGAGGGAAGCCAACATAGAAATTAACGAATGGGAGATCACCGTTCAAGCTGGCGAACAGCAGCGTATGAAGGATTAAAAAAGGAAAAAGATGCGCGAAAAAAGGGCAATATGGCAGGCCAAGTTTAACCAGTTGTCAAGGTTCCCCTGTAAGAAATTCAGCTGAGACGCGCAGTCCAGATCGGCCTAGTAAGCCGTTTGTCCATAGTGTCCATAGTGTCGAGTGTGGGAGTTCATTAGTTACTGAATGAGTCTGATAGGGGACGTGAGTTTGAATCGTGCGGCAGTGTTGAATGCAACTGTGTGGAGGTAGGGTGTATTTCGTCCAGGTGATAGCGAGGGGCGCTATCGAAGCCTATGTGTATGGAGTGTTAATCATTTAATCATGATATTAAAGTTGAACTTATTATGATGAAGGACTTGAGTTGTTCAATATTAGTACGACGTAATCAACGTGTAAAAGAAACTAACGAATGAACCAACGCGGTAGAGCAAAGAGTTGACACATAGCTCCTCCATTGTCTTGCGAAGACGGAATAGTGCCTATTTAATAAATATCATTATGGTTTTTGGTCGATTCCCTATGAAGCAATCACCAAATTGAAGCTTAAGAGATCTAGTCTCTAATAATTCAACGTTTCTTGAATGGAGGTTTCATAGTCAACAACAGGTTGGTGACATAAATTTCACGTACTGGAGTGAAACTTGTCTTTTTCTTCAAAGAATCTATTACATTCTTAGCATCAAGCATCTCATTAGACCTTAAATTTCTTATTTTTTATTTAAAAAAAAAAAGTTTGTATTTGTATAACCCGTTTATTGGAGGAAATTAATGATTTGGCCTTGGCGTGCGTACGTCACACGGTTGCGTGCTACTAATTCCACCTCGGCTTCGCACAAACTTTCGCACCTATAAAGTGTAAATCTGCAAAGAAGTGAAACGTTCTTCAAAAACAAATTCCAAATTTTAAAGTTACTTCACTTTTCGCCTTTTTCGGAAAGTTTATCCTCCATTTGAGATGTCATTTTAAAAAGAGAATTTACATAAACTGATATACCATTAAAAGAACTTTTATGTAGGACACTTTTCCCGTGCCGTGAACTTTTGACCCCAAATAGATTCCTAGCAAACGCTACGTTCATAGATGGGTGTGGCCTATTCTTTTGATCTGTCGTGTTTACTGCAGACTACCAATAAAACATCGTTAGTTTGTCTCCTGGTATCTTGAGGAACGTTCTCGATTTAACGAGAACTCTGTAAGTTGATGATTTGTAATTATATTTCTTTTGTTTTGTAATTGTATTATTACTAAATTAAATCTTATTAATTGTAATTGGTACTGTTTTGGGTGTCGTATTTTTTTGGGTTGTATTTCTCTATGGTATCGTCCTTTGTTGGGCCTTGTTCGAACGAGCCGCACATTTAAAATAGGAGATTAATTTCTCACAATAGAAGGGCGTTGGAAACAACAACAAATCTAAAAAAACGTAAATTGAAACAATAAATATTAAATCATAATGCAAAAAAATTTCCAGACGCCCGACGAACTACAAGTACCAGTAGAGCCCATAATACGCAACCATTTAAATCTACGAATGCGTTGACCTTACCTTCACCCGATGATCCATTTTGCATATTTCTGGACAAGACAGTCAACTTGTTGTTGGTCATTGACCTCAGGGACTCGATGGCTTCCTGTCGGGGAGAGAACCGAGACACGAATATGCAACACAGGGTAGACAACTCTGTACAAATGTGTCGTAACATTGATACAGTTCAATGAGAAGAAATCCAACATTTAAATACAGGCTAATGAGGTCTCGTTTTGCAGGGATACATTTTCGATTAGGGCTTGAGAGTTTCCCTCAACTGGAATTAGAAGTTTCCTACCCCGAATAACGTGACATAGCACATGATCTGAGTTACAACACAGGGTAAGTAGAATATAATTTTCCAGCTGCCATGGTGCATTTAGTTCAGTCTCTAATCAAGTTTCCTTAGGTGAAATATCTTAATGATAAAAAAAAATTATGAATCAATGTCTCATGTGCTGCATATCAGGCACAAACCTCGTGGGACACAGCTTACCTTCAAGCCACCAGTTTTATTGTCACAGGAAACGAAGAACTCAAAACTCCTCGGGTCATCACGTGACGGCCTCGACTCAATATGGTGGAGGTTTACGCCCTTTTCCTGTCAGAAAGTTCATACAAGTACACATTTTAAATCGTGTTATTCAAAATCATATCTCAAACAAAGAGACCAAACTCATGCCACATATCGGCATATTAAAAAGCGCCCTTTTCTCTTTTAGAATCCGAGTTTACCACAAATGATTTTAGAAATTGAACCCGGGAATTGAAAAGTTGGGTTTAAAGGTGAGCACTTAAATATTTTCGTACTAGTCCATATGATCACATAATGTGGTTTTTTTTATATTTTGGGCCAAGGAACAAGTCAAGAAATTTGATATTGCCATTTTTGTAGATAAAAAATAATGATGAATACAACAACCTTTATGTTCAAGTTCACATTTGTACGAAATTTTAGTCTTATTTGAGATTATTGGTATAATTGGACACACTTGTCTTCAAAGTTGGACTTAAGTGTTCTCAAAGTTGGACATAAGTGTTCTCAAAGTTGGACATAAGTGTCCTCAAAGTTCAACATAAGAGTCTTTAAATTGGAAATGCGCGTCTTCAAAATTGGAAAAAAACGTGTCTTCAAAATTGGAAATAATCGTCTTCAAAGTTGTACATTAAATGTCTTCAAAATTGGACATAAACGTCTTCAAAGTTGGACATTAAATGTCTTCAAAGTTGGACATGAACGTCTTCGAAATTGGACATAAACGTCTTCAAATTTGGACATAAAGTCTTCAAAGTTGGACATAAACGTCTTCAAAATTGGACATAAACGTCTTCAAAGTTGGACATTAAATGTCTTCAAAATTGGACATGAACGTCTTTAAAGTTGGACATTAAATGTCTTCAAAATCGGACATAAAATCTTCAAAGTTGGACATTAAATGTCTTCAAAATTGGACATGAACGTCTTCAAAGTTGGACATTAAATGTCTTCAAAGTTGGACATTAAATGTCTTCAAAATTGGACATAAACGTCTTCAAAGTTGGACATTAAATGTCTTCAAAATTGGACATGAACGTCTTCAAAGTTGGACATTAAATGTCTTCAAAATTGGACATTAAATGTCTTCAAAATTGGACATGAACGTCTTCAAAGTTGGACATTAAATGTCTTCAAAATTGGACATAAACGTCTTCAAAGTTGGACATTAAATGTCTTCAAAATTGGACATGAACGTCTTCAAAGTTGGACATTAAATGTCTTCAAAATTGGACATTAAATGTCTTCGAAATTGGACATGAACGTCTTCAAAGTTGGACATTAAATGTCTTCAAAAATGGACATAAACGTCTTCAAAGTTGGACATTAAATGTCTTCAAAATTGGACATGAACGTCTTCAAAGTTGGACATTAAATGTCTTCAAAATTGGACATGAACGTCTTCAAAGTTGGACATAAACGTCGTTTGCGCAATGTAATGCAGTGACGGTTCGGGTTCTATGGCAATGTCACATCGGTCTCGCTGAGATGGCAATGTCACATCGGTCTCGCTGAGATGGCAATGTCACATCGGTCTCGCTGAGTTCGAGTTAACAATTTGTTAAATAAATAGCTCACTTACAGAGTGTGAGGCTAACAACGTCTGTTAGCTGACTACGCCAAGCAGGGCATTTATCTAACAAGCCATTAAGTCAGACGCGGCTCTATTAACTATTGACAATGGGGGATACGACTTACACAATGAAAATATCACACACCTGACACATATGTCACACATATACGCTTAAGATGCCACAGTATGCTATCGATGTAATCTGTGTGCGTATTTCTGCTGTGGTCTTCTCGTATATTTTAACGCATCACTGGATATAGACAATGAAAGACCCATAACTTTGAATCGCAATTGTTATGATGCACATAACTCCATGAGCTTACTGTGTAACTTAAAAAGGCTTCGTTATTATTATTAACTTATCTTAACAATATATAATCATATGTATAGATGATGTTGTCTGAGAGTCTCGAAAGGTGGGATAAAGAATATGTGTCACATATAATAGTGGTCAGTACGACATGGCTTGTTTCTTAGACACTGATTTCATTGCATTGTTGGCGAAACTCTAAGATATGAAAGATTGGAATTTGAAAATCATTAAAAAAAAAAAAACAGTTTAGTTTAAACCTGCAGCGGCATGGTTAAATCTGGTGGTGTTATATAATGAAGTCTACTCTCCTATCCCCACAAAATGTACATTATACATCATTATGCATGCATGCATTTAGGGTCGGGCGAAGAGGGCACTCGTCCCGGGCGGCAAAATATCGTCTTAAGATAGGACCTAAAGAGCAATTACAACAATCAATCCTAATAAAATAAACGTAACTTTTACTTTTCAATTTGTGGCTTTACACACTTACAAGATTAAAGAAGTAAGAAGGCTTAGAGATCAGAAGGCCTATTTACAATTTGAATTTCAAGAACAATTGTAATTGTAATAAAATAAATCATGAATTGCCATGTACTTCACAAAGAAAAGGGGCGCGAATTTCATTTTTTACTGATCCGCATTGGGCGGCATATTTTCTATATACAAGCGGGTGTCATTTTCAGACTTCACCCAGGGTGCCAAGTCCCTACATACATACATAATATATAAAGAAATCACCTCAAAGACTTTGAGTGCAGCGGCGAGAACTCCAACTTTCTCCGAGAGGGTGAAGACGATGCTGGTGCTGCCCTCATGATCTTCGAAATCCTGCTTGTAGTTCGTGTGGGACGGGAAGTCGAACTGAAACAAAATAAACAATGAGCTGCAGAGTGAGAATCCGTTCAAACAACCCTGGAGACACGAATTAAGAAAACAAGTTACGTAATGGCAGTTGTTGGACGTCTCTTTGAGAAAGCAGAGAAGCTAAATAGAGACATTCGCTTAAAAGAGACATTGGCGTACACTTGAATTTAATTGGCACCTTCGTTTGTTAGGTATGCAAAAAAAATAAATAATTCAATTCAATTAATTTTCACATATCACAGAAAGCTGATAGAAAAACATTCGTGGTCCAGTTTACCTGACGAAATCTGTCAACTCTGTTCACTGTTCTCCCAAAGAGTTCTGACAACGTGAAAAACACTTGGCCTGGTACGCCGTTTGGCCCGTCCATGTTAAGAACGGGAGTCACAACAAGATGGGGGTTGTTGTTTTTCTCTCTTTCTCACAGACACCCGATACTCGTTAAGCCTTGCCGGCTTGGTGATAGGACAGGAGCCGAAAGAGCCTGTGTCCGATACTTACATTCGATGAATGAAAAAAACAAACAAATCCTGGCCCAGGATTCAAGAAAAGAAAAAGAAGGCTCGAAAACAGTTCCCGTCCAATCGGTTCAAGGTGTGACACTTTTGTTGAGTCTGTGTGGTAGAAGCTTGGGCTATATTATCCGTGGAGAGAGCAACACGCATTTCTTCTGTGGCGATTTTCTTTAATATATAGAGATATTTTTAAAAAAAAAAGGAATAAATTCAAATAGTTTCTCAAATAATCGTACTTTTCCAGAAAGTTTTTTTAAAAAGATTTTGCCGGAGAGTGGTCTTCTACCCAAATGGGAAGTCTATTCCGATGTTTTAACGTTATCTACTATTAACACTTGACTAACTTGAGAAATTAAGTACAACAGCAAGCCGTTTAAACTTTCGGATCTGAATACCCAAAATCCTTGCACATCGAACAAAATCTTTTGGGCTCGAGATATTATTGACAAGCCTATATATATAGGGCCCTAAAGTCGTAATGTAAGAGGATATGAAAAGAGGAGGGGTGGGGGGGGGTCTTGGGGGAGAGCGGCTGGCTATAGGATTTTACTAGTTTAGCGAGGCTTCAGTTTTACCGTAAAAGCAATGCTCACATTACCGTTTCATTTTCGGGAAATGTTGTGTAGGCCTACACGGCCTACTTTTTTCCCAAAGTTTAAAATATCAACAATGTTTATTTAACTTATAAGGCGTCTTTTTGACTCGATTCAACTCATATGATTTTTATTAATATACATCATGTTTTAATAAGAGAGTTTTATTAAGACGAAATCCCTCCCCCCTCTCCCCCACACACACCCCCACAACCCCAGACCAAATGAAGTTTTACCGTAACACGCGTGGGCCAATATTTCCGAGTGATTTCATCATCAATCCGCTATGTGATTTCCTCGCCACTCGTCACACCAGCAGATCTATTTAAAGCCGTGAGGCACTTAAGTCTGACGGATTATACCTCACCGCATACTTTTCAATTGAGGCGACGACAGGTAACTATGTAGTGAAGGAGTCTTGGTGGATGGGAGGAGTCTTGGTTGTAGGACTGACACCGTGTTTAGTTTGAGACCCGAACATGGAGTTTCTACGTTACTGTCAATTAGGGGATGGGACCATTCGCCGTCACCCGTTTCGCCGCCGGGACACTTCGCCGCCGGAACATTTCTCCACTGGAACATTTCGCCACCGAGCGTTTCGAATGCGGCATTTTCCTGGACATAGTGATATAAATGATTGATCTTCAAAAACAAAATCCACGCCAGACAAAGTAGATGGCTTTTGTCTGAAGCGTCTGTGTCTGGGGGCTTTTGTCTGAAGCGTCTGTGTCTGGGGGCTTTTGTCTGAAGCGTCTGTGTCTCGGGGGCTTTTGTCTGAACCGGCTGGGCTTGGGGGCTTTTGGCTGAAGCGTCTGTGTCTGGGGGCTTTTGTCTGAAGCGGCGGGGTCTGGGGGCTTTTG